TTCCGAAGGAGAGGATGAATAATTGCTCGCTAAATTTTTATATACATTCGATATTTTGCAATGAGTAGTTATTTATTCTCTAAGGTTAGTTTGTTTCCCTATTTTTGCTGCACCGTCGCGTATTTACGTACCTTAAATTTTCTTTGAACAGGCAATTCAAAGAAATCTTTCGCATTAGGCAGCTCAACATCAAAAAAAACCTTTATGTAACAAACAAATTCTACCCTTATGTTGAATGGAAAAAAAAGTGTGCAGTGCCCAATTCAACATATGAACTCGTTACGCCTCTGTTTTTACATGCAATTATTCACAGAAGATGTTACTGTGAACAAAATTTTGTAATTTTGTAAAATTACTATTGAATTATGTTTTATAATTGCCTAGAAATTACTGTTAAAATTTTTCTGCATATATGTATCATGAATTTATCACTAATTTACCATTATCATCATCGTAGAATAATTTGCTGTTAACCAGTTTTTTTATACCTTCTACTTCGTATGTTCAGTAATTTCATAGTACAAATTTTCTAAATGCTGTAAATTCTACCCCAAATGTTAAATCATTTGCCCTTCGATCAACTCCATTTTTACCATGCCCCAAAATCAATAGGTCCATCTTCCTTCCCTACAATTTCACTCCAACTCCTTCCCAGCATCATGTCGGGAACCCCATTCACCATCACCTGCATCTCTCTGCAGTTCCCCTCTCCTCAGCTACCTTCAAGCTCGAGGACGATCTTACTCAACGCCATAGGATATTCTAGGTAAAGGTCGTGTTTGCTCGCAGTCCACCGGATCCGTATCCTCACATCTGTATGTATTTTAATATATCATCACGTCAACTGTACGTTCTCGCCGTATATTACGTGCATATTCCAACGCACGTTACCCGGAAGAACATCAACCACGCCAATCCTAACTACAACAATTCGAAACCTCAATCTATCAAGCTCGAGGACGAGCTTCCTGAAGGAATGGAGATGTCGGGACGCAGCTAGCTACAACAGCTGCTCGAGAAGGAGGTTGGCCGAAGACAGCCAACCTCTGCCAGTGACCTCCGCCCCCGGCAGGAGCCGGTGCTCTCTTCCCCCTTTCCCTTTCCCTTTCTGTATATTATTATGTATGATAAATATTATAGTAAAGACCTATATAAACCCGCTACACATCAGGTAAGGGCGTCATGAACCCTTAGACCTGACATATCCAAAAGCTCACAGTTCCTTCCAGATAGTCGTTGAGCATACAATAAACATCTGAGGTCAGATTTTATGGCGTGTGCATTGATATACAGCTTATTTTAGCCGGACCAAGTTCTGACCATTCGCTGATTAGATCATACAATTATTCAATTATACGAACTGCCGAAAAATCAAACAAGTATTGAAAGTAGATGCCCAATGTCCTAGTATATTTGAAAAATTGAAAAGCCGAGTAAACGACTAAATTTGCAACTTACAGGTTTCGAATAAGTCCAGTATATAGAGCTTTTGGATTCTCCGAAAAACCGAATTTCGAGTAGTTTTTTTTAATCGACTATTTATTCCATTCGGTCCAAAGTATGCTATACATATGAAGATCTTGCACTGCATCGCTCTTCATCTTCAAATGGACCATGCTCGTTTTGTCTAAAGACCTTTCTTTGAAAAAAGCGTTTGATGATAAGGCAATTTTACCGAAGTTTCCCTTTGTTTGCTTTTCAGAGTGCCCCATTCGAAGTGGGGATGTTCATGAAGCTATGCGATATTTCTCCCCTATATTAGGCAAGTGCTCAAGCTGCAGTATAAGGGCCGCATGCACTAACATCCCCCGGGGGGGGGGGGATCGCAGCTTAAAGAAAGCTTTATATTTCGATCTCCAGATACCTGGATTTCACGTTGTGTACCTATCCGTAAGCATTCCTATTACCCTTCACTATGAACATGTTGAACAGGAGCGAGAAGCTGTACAAACCGCATTTTCCAGCTTTTGTATGATCCCTGATGATCCCTGGCGCTTTTCTTCAAAGTCAGTTTTCTTTCTCCGAAGTTAACGAAGAATCTCCAGAGTTGTGCAGATTGTCTAACCCGACAGTGCTAAGCATGTTGCTGCTGAGAACAAATGATGTTTTGAAGTCATGAAATTTGCGATGATCCACAGGTCGAAATTTGAGGCTTACCGAAAAATTCGACTTTTCAAAAACTCATTTGTTCTCATCAGCAACATGCTTAGCAGTATTGTGTTAGATGTTCGGTACAACTTTGGAAGGTTTTCGTTAACTTCGGAGAAAGAAAAATACTTTAAAGAAAAGCGCCGGGGATCATCAGGGATCATACAAAAACTGGAAAATGCGGTTTGTACAGCTTCTCGCTCCTGTTCAACATGTTCATAGTGAAGTGTAGTAGGAATACTTACGGATAGGTAGACAGCGTGAAATCCAGATATCCGGATCTTCAGGATATGAAGCTTTCTTCTGAAGCTGCGATCCCCTCCCCGCGGGGATATTAGTGCATGCGGCCCCAAAAGGTTGCTTCCGGAACAGGAAAAGGGTTCTGGAAGGAGGGGTTCGGCGTGCCTCCCCCCCCCCCCCCCCCGCCCCTGTGTCTGTTTTGCCCACTCGGCGGTTTCTTGCGGGTAACAAGTGTATCACTCATTACCAGGGTCAAGCAAGAGGTGTGGCACAAGATCGCTGGTTACGACCCACCCCCCTCTTAATGCTGTCTCAATAAGACCCCTGAACTATATACCTAGTTTCGCATTAGATGGTCCTTTCAAACATAACGGGCAACATATACATAATTAGCATGTCAATACCCCTGTAGACAATGTAGCAAATTGTGAAGCTTCAAGGTACTGGGTCACCTAAGTGAAATCGCCATTATCCAGCATGACTAATTTCGTTTCGAAGGTGAAATACCTAGCTGTTTTTGCACTCAAGACAAAGCACTACTCGTTTTTTGGCCACTTCAGAAATCCTTCAAAAGACCTTCCAACTTTGCAATAGAAGCCAACCAAAATCTTGTTTTTCCTATTTTTCGCTTTTAATGGCTGTGCATTAACCAAAAATTACTCACGAGGAAAGGAATACTTAGTGGCCGTGGCCTTTTGCAATGAGATGTACACCAGTAGGTGCTTCTTGGAACGCTGATTCTAAATCTGTGCTCATTGTCTGTTGTGCGACTACCTGAACGAAGTTTTGAACTTTTTTCCATATTGATTTTGCGAGATTTAGGCAGTCAAAATCGTCACTATCCAGGCTTTTTAGACTCTGATATATCGGTGACAGTTTTCCTGAGCTTAACGTGAAGCTTTGCTTTATTTGTACCTCTTTTGTAGTGCGTAAGCGAACGTTCTAACGATATTGGTGAATCCTGCATCAAAAACAGTGCAAATTTTGGTGACAAGAAATGTTCATAACTTCTTCGGGAATAGCGCACAGCAGATAATGAAAACAGATTTGAAATCAGCGCTTCAAGATGCATTTGATGTTGTACTTTTCATTTCAAAAGGCCACGGTCAAAGTATCCTTTCCTTGTCAGAGCTAAGAAGACGAATCAGGCTCAAATCACTCTTATGAAATCTACGAGGTTTCCTATCGATTCGTATAAATAATCTTCAAAAATGGTTTTTTGATATAGTTAATGGGGTGTGGTACCACCCCTAAAAGGCTGTGGCTGCCAGAGCTTTTTAGGGGTGATGCCACACCCCATTAACTTACTTCAAACAGATCAAATAGCTGCGTTTTTTATATCGTTGTTACTGCTTAACCTTCTTCTTTACATAGCAGAAATTTCATATGAAAACGTCTCTTCAAAACCATATGATCGTTTTTCCTTACCTATGCAAACGTAAAATACTGGTAAAATACGGCGAAAATATTGGGATACGGTAACATGCTAAGTCTGCGCTACTACGTGAATCGCAAGGGAACGCGACAATAATGTATATATCCCATAGCCTAACCTTCGTAATCTACATTAAAGTGATTTGAGCCTGATTGGTTTTCTCTGTACTGAGATATTGAAAACGAAACATGGAACAAACGAGATTTTTGCTTGCTTTTAATTTTTTAGTTTGGAGGTCATTTGAAATAGGATTCCTAATGTAAGCAAAGAAATAGTAGTTCTTTGTTTAACCGCAAAAAGAAGCCATTAACTTACCTTTTGAACAAAGTAACATGTTTGAAAACGACCATCTCACTCAGGTGGTCCTGTATTTGGAAATCTCAGAATTCGCTGAAACTTGGATCGCAGGGGTTATTTTACTTGCAAACTATGAAATGATGCTCTTATGCTTCATAGATCTTTAATTATGCTTACTGTACGTATACGATAATGGGTCAAACATCAATGTGTTATTTTGCTTGACGGGCCTATTTGACATTGTTAACGAATATCATGTTATGCGAACAGTGGACGCCTTGATAACGACCCTCCCCTCCCTGATTCCTCAATACGACCCCTCAGGTGTGGCATGAAACACCCTACGCTTGACCCTGCTCATTACTCTTTCCCGTGCATCTTCTTCGCTTTTTCGTCTACTGTATCGCTCAATCATGGACTATTTTCAATGGAAGCAACAGCGTCGCCCTTCGAGCATGGCGTGGACATCTATAATAACCAACGCGCTGGTATTTAACACTAATTCTAGATTGCATGATATGTTATCAACTGCAAGATTGGCAAGGGCGGAAATCTTGAACTCTGATATTGAATCAGCTGTTAGAACTCCTCCCTTAAGCCTTTTTCATCCCGTTTCAAAAGCCGTTACAGGGTAAGTTGCCACATCTCCTCCATAGCCATTTCAGAATCATATGTGAGGGACAATTAAAATAGACCGATCGCTCAGCATGTACGAAAAACGCACTGCAGACTTAAGAGAGTTTGCTTTAGAGAAAGACATTGAATCTGCATTCACGTTAACGTTTGACGTCATAGTAGATAATTCCAAAAAAATCCTGGTTAGATGTGAATGGAAATCATTACATCATCTACAATTCTTACAGTAGTCTACATCATTTAGAAAAAGATCCTTTTCAAAACATTCTCGATCAAGTTGATTTCTCCCTGGACATACCCCAGCCTAGTACTACGAAGTAAGTTGCGTACTTTGATAATTGTTTGCTGAAAGTTACCTTGTTGTTGCCAGTTTCGTTCCTGATGGGACTCTGGATGTAGACTTCCCCGGAGGTGCTGATAGTGCGCCATTGCAAGTTAAGATGGCTGAACATGATCAAGTGAGCAAAGCACATAGAGTTTGTCGTGAAAAACGTTCTTGCAACAAGACATATCCAACCTTTAGGGCTCCACTCCTCTACCTCTGCACAGTCAGGATTTATGCAGCAATGACAAAACGACATCCTGTGAGGTGGTTTTCTTGCCCTTCTGCATCCTTCACATCTAATCACGGGTGTGGTTGAGGCGAAATGATAGCGGGTGTCAGCTGCAAGGCACTGACTAGTTAGCCCACTGAGTGCATCTCCTTTGCAAGAAAGCGTACCTGTGGTCAATCTCCCATCTTCGGGAGTTTCAGTTCACAACTGCAGAACTTTGATATCTATAGGCGTATCTTAACAAGAGAGAGAGTGTGGAAAGGATTGTTCAATATAAAGATTCAGTGGTTTGAAGTCTCCAAATCATAGCTCGGCCTAGTATGGCTGGAAACAAATGCAGCCTCTGCGACTGCGGCTTGCGATATATATCTAGCTGCTCGGTAGAGAAAATATGCTAAAGCTCAGCGGTGGCATATAAATGCTCACGCGCAGTGTAGAATTGATGCATGTTTTCTAGGCTATAGGAGTTTCGTACTCACAGAATCTATTCTGTTCCTTTTTTTCAAAATGACTCGTGGGAGAAAAGCGGCATACAAGACATTCGTCGATATTCCCATACGAGAGGGGGCGAGAAAGATGAGCAAGAACTTGTGGACACATTTTGGCGCTCCCGTGGTGTCTCTTTGTTCCTTCGGAGTAAATCATGTCGTTCAGGTTGATCGACACTAGAAACCAGATATTTTCCCTTCATAGTCTCTTTCTTTCCAATAAAAGTGATCTGTTCTCCATGTTTCAAAATTGTCTTTTCTTTGTGATTCTAGATGCATGAGAGTGAAATCGAATTCTGCATTGCTGGTAGATCGCAGCAGGATAAAAATACTCGTGAGTAATATGATGGTAGTTTTCGCTTTTTGTTTATAGGCTCCTTTTTAGGCACTGAAGGGAACCCCCAAATGACCAAAGCACCTGCACAGCAAGCGATAGCCAAACAAATCAGTTCGACTAAAAGGTTGTTGCCATGCCTCCGTCAATGCTTCGATTGATAGAATTTATTAATCTGACAGGACGGAGGATTTGATTTGCGACCAGACACAGAGTACGATCGCACGTTTACGCATCTTTTTCCGTGCCTATGGGAGAGCAATTGCGAGGTATAATGTTTCTGGTATATAGCCTGATTCACAGAAAGGCGGCGTGTTAGGCACGCGCCATACTTGATCGCTTAATCCACTTGATCCGCTTCGTCATTGGTCAGTTCAGTGAACAGATTAATAGCGAAACGGTAATTCACTTGATCCGCTTAGTACACTTCATCCACTTCACTACTGGTCAGTTCAATGAATTGACCAATGACGAAGCGGATCAAGCGGATCAAGTATGACGCGTGCCTTAGCAAAACGGACGGATAAATCTGCACCTCATGCGTTCCAACTGTCAAAGAGACTCATCCTATGCATTGACCTAATTTGCAAAAAAAAAAAAAAGAAAAGAAAGGAAACTTTGCCCTTAGTACGGCGTACATAAGTAGTATCATTACGGCGGTCCAAGAAATTTTTTTGGGGGGGAGGGGAGGGGAAAACGCAAGGCCACGTCCGTCAAGAAAATTTTTGGGATGCTTTCCAAAATTTTGGCGTTATAGTCTGGAAGTTCAGAAAAAGGGCGTAATTGTCCCCAAGCCCCTTAAAGGCAGCGGCTCAGCAGATTGATCTACCTCAGGGGCGGTATGCAACAATCGCCCGTCCGGGTAAGTTGCCCGGACAGGTAGTTTCCGCTTCATAGCTCGGTGCTCTGGGAATCTGAGTTCTTTCTTGTTTGTTCATCTTTGGGAGGCTCTACTACCCTAATATTGTAGCACAATGATTAGCAGCACTTTGCTGTATAAGCTGAGATAATTCGTTATTTGTATGATCTCGAACGGGATCTCCCCCTGATCACGCTCTTTTTCAAAGTTATTTATATCCGCAAAAACTCAAGGAAAACCTCACAGAGTTTTGCTCTCCATTTATTACGACAGTGCTACGCATGTTTGTGGAAGAAATAAGTGAAAAATCAAGTTGACCAAATCTTCGCTGAACCTGTGCTCGCGAATTGGGCTTTATCGAAAAACTCAAAACTTGCACATTTCATCTGTGCTACTAAAAACATGCGTAGCACTGTCGTAATAGATCGAAAGCAAAACTATGTGACGTTTTCATTGAGTTTTTGCGGATATAAATAACTTTGAAAATGAGCGTGATCAGTGGGAGATCCCGTTCGGGATCATACAAATAACGAATTATCTCACCTTATACAGCAAAGTGCTGCTAATTATTGTGCTACAATATTAGGGTAGTAGAGCCTCCCAAAGATGAACAAACAAGGAAGAACACAGATCCCCAGAGCACCGAGCTATGAAGCGGAAACTATCTGTCCGGGTAACTTACCCGGACGGGCGATTGCTGCATACCGCCCCAGATTTTGACACAGATGGATAGGAGGCCCTCCAAGTGAAAATGTGAATTCTGCAAGCCAGGGGAGCGGCCCAAGCGCCGCTCCCCTTCCTTTCGCTCCCCTAATATCTTGTTCGGACGAGTATGTTCTACGCTAGAAAATGCGCTGTCACTCGTAGCTTCGTAGGGCAGAATTGTTCTAGCGTTCTCTACCTCCTTACTCTGCGTCTCTGACGGCAGAGAAAAGCGGCTCACTTGTCCGCTCCCATCTCAGGGGAGGTTTCAAAAGACGGGGTTTTCCCACTTTCGCACTAAGGAAAGTTCATATTGTGATTCAGGGGGCCGGAGTAGCCCCAAATGTGCCAAAACCCCGAAGTTGAAAATCTGCCGAGCCGCTAATTTCAAATTTCTTGACAAAGCTAAATTTTGAATTCAGATTTCATTGTCATTGAAACATTCAAAAATTATTTTGATCATTAACTGTGAAAATAACTCAAATGCGCAATTTTGACTCAAGTAGCCAACTTTCAACAATTTCGCCGCTCATTTCGGTGGGGCAGAGAGGGGGGGGGGGGGGAAGGGGAACGAAACGTGGGTTTGGTGTAACATTAAAAATTGCAATTTCGAAGGTTTTCTACTTTGAATAGAGTTTTCGAGAAGAATGTTTCCGATTATATTTAAGGCTGCGTCTCCTCGCATTGATGGGTACCAGGATTTTACAGTGTTTCGGTGGTAGTCCAGGTAGTCTATCAATGAAGACTGGAGCGAAAAAAGCGCTTTTGGACAGCCCAGACCGCTCCGGAAGTCCTCCGGACCCCGCCCATTTCCAGACCCCTCCCACTTCTTACACGTAATTTGGTTCGAATGCGGACACAGAAAGCTGCGAGAAAAGCTCATTTTTGCCACTTTCAAGCGCTGAAAAGCTCAGATATGGCCAGCATGGCAAGAAGGCCCCGGAGAGATGAAAAACTGGGGAGCGCACTGCCTTTGAGCTAGAGAGAGGGGAACACGATATCTGGTACTTGACGTTCTAATTTACTTTATTTTTACAGTTCCGCATTGCTCAACCCTGACGAGCTGACGTCGCAAGCTACAGGTTTTCCACTTAACATCGTGTTGGCCTGTAATGATCCAGTACCAAAAAAACCTTGTATTACGCTTACAAAAAAGGTTGAACAAGCTTCTTCTTACTTGGAAATGTGAAGGTTTTCTCCTCAGAAACGAAAAGAACAAGAGGATACGGCTAAAGACGGTGCTCCGGTGAGGAATACGAAAAAGAAAAACTCCAGCGGTTTGGGCAAGAATGAGGTTAGCTATTCTGAGTCGTACAACAGCAGCGCTCGTTTCGACATAAAACTAAATGTACCGTTGCGCGACCTTTGTAGAAGTTATAGTGGACTCAAAAGCAGTGTTGACAAATATGGTTTTGAATTTTTGGAGTTATCCCAGAAATTATCGTCTCTATAAATCAAGCATGGTAGGTCCCATCGCACTCTTCTTTCCTTGTTGACAAAGCTTAGGCCAGAATGCTTCGCCACATTCACAGCGGGATGTTGCTCTCGAGTAATTGCCGGAAGAGGACGCGAGGCTCAGGAACGCGAATGCGGTTTTAACCGTGGGGAGCAAGGGACGCAGGGTTCGCAACAATGTACCTTCGCGCGCGCCTTCTTAGGCATCGCGCATAATGCACGCGATTCGCGATTTCGTCGTCGCGATTCCATCGCCTAGGATGTCGGTGGTTTGGGCTATGAGAACGCGACGACGATCACTCATCGCGAACACATAGTCATAGTAGGCGAGAATCCATGTGTGTGCTTATGCGCATATGTGGAGCAGTATCTTGTAGAACTTTGCCATATCGCATCTAGTCACTTTCTCACGATTTTGTCGCTTTTTCAGAAAATTCTGGCCTGTGAAAATGGCTACTTGGAGCCACCAGATAGACCATATGGAGTAAAACAAAGCACAGAAGATTATTCTCTATAATTTTAGATAACTTCTCCTTCTTCTGAAAAAAAAAAACTTAGAACAGCTTAATCCATTCATGAAACTCCTATACTAATTATAAATTCAGTGATATCGCTCATTCGCTGGTGCAGAAGAGAGCGATATCGCCAAGTTTTGCCGAAATCGCGGCGATTTTCGCCGGCGAACTATGTCCTGACAAAAGACGGGGATCGTCGCGGCGGACTAACACATCTGCCATTGCAGGCGGTGGGCATGCAATGATGTGTGGCAGTTGTCGTTGCGCATGAATCTCGCAGTGACGGAATCGCGAGCACTATGCCCTAGGCCTTAGGGTCTGCTCAACTAAGGCTGGTTGTGCACTTTCGTCCAGAAACAGACTTCGCGTTGCATTCGCGCAATCAGGATTCAAACCACGCCGGTAAGCACCGCCATCTTCGACACTAGTGCATGGAGCGGATTCATGCCCGCACGGGCTGAATCAGCGATGCTCTTGGTAGGACATTTGCATGCGCTGAAGGGCGATTTGTCGCGAATAGGCTGCAACCGCGCGAACAACTAGCTCAGACAATTGCATCGGGAAGTTCGCGGCTGCTCGTCCGACCACCAATCATCCATGCCGCGAGCTGCCCGGTAAACCCATATATTAGACCCGATAAGTGACCGCGGCACATCCTGTAAGTGCCCGTTGGGCGCCTATAGTTGACCCGATTAGCATGCTTGTAAGACCTAGGAAGAGTGAAAAACTATTCAATCTGTCTTTCAGAGCGACGACTTGAGTGCAAACTGAGCAACTCGTTAGCTCATCTGTCGACATCATCTAGTGTCGTCGATAATGGTCAACTGACTGCTAGAGTTTGTTTTATAATCAAGAAACGATCCTGTCAAACAGGACCAAATCTTAGGTGATACCCAGGGTCAAGCAAGGGGTGTGGCACACGATCGCTGGTTACGACCCCCCCTCCTGATTGCTGTCTTAATAAGACCCCCCCTAAACTATACACTTAAGATAGCGTTACTTAAAGGCCCTGTCAAACATAATGGGCAATATATCTATAATTAGCATGTCGAATAACCCCTGTAGATAATGTGTGAGCGGATTCTGAAGATTCAACATACTAGACTATACCTAAGGGAAATGGTCATTTTGCAACATGTTTAACATTGTTTCAAAGGTGAATTAGCTATCCGTTTTTGCACTCAAGACAAAGCACTACTCCTTCTTTGTCCACCTCAGGAATTCCGCTTCAGAAGACCTCCAAACTGTGGAATTAAAAGCCAACCAAAATCTCGTTTTTCCCATTTTTCGCTTCTAATGGCTGTGCTTTCACCAACTATTACTCAGAGCAAAGAAAACGAATTAGGCTAAAATTACTCCTTTGAAAACTAGGAGATCTAGGCTATCGCTTCATATAAATACTGTCCGCTAAAATTGTTTTTGATATAGTTAATGGCCTGCGGCACCCCCCCCCCCCCTCTCAAAACCTGCGGCAGCCGCAGGTTTTGAGGGGGGGGGGTGCCGCAGACCATTAACTATATCAAAAAAACATTTTTAGCGGACACTATTTATATGGATCGATAGCCTAAACCTTGTAGATTCTTAGGACTATTTTGAGCCTGATTCGTCTTCTTAGCTCCAAATAATATTTGGTGAAAGCACAGCGATCAAAAGCGAAAAATGGGAAAAACGAGATTTTGGTTGGCTTCTAATTCCACAGTTTGGAGGTCTTCTGAAGCAGGATTCCTGAAATGGACAAAGAAGGAGTAGTGCTTTGTCTTGAGTGCAAAAAAGGATAACTAATTCACCTTTGAAACAAAGTTAACCATGTTGGAATTTGACCATTTCACTTAGTTAGCCTAGTATTTTGAACCTTCAGAAATCGCTCACACTTTGTCTACAGGGGTTATTTAACATGCTAATTATGGATAGGATACGAATATCATGTTATCACTATTATCAGATTACCCAACTACGACCCCCTCCCCTTTTGACTCCTCAATACGACCCCCCAGGTGTGGCGTGCCGCACCCCACGCTTGACCCTGGTGATACCCAACTTCTTAAACACTTAGGGTAGCCCCAACGCTGCGGCGTACCTCACGCGGGTTGCGCCTTATCCTACAGTGTGTAAGAAGTGCGGCCTTTGATAAGGCCCGCGGCCCGCCGAGTGAGGTGGTTGGGCCGCGACCCTCCCGATAATCTCCATCCAATTTCAACTTTGGCCGCGGCGTCCCCGGTAAAATATACATGGGCCGCGGCGTGCGAGGCTGAAATTTCAAGGGCCGCGGCGCTCCATGTAATACGCTTTGAGGCCGCGAACTTTCCGATGCAATTGTCTGAGTAGCACAGCTTATGATGTGCAGAGATTCTTGGTTTCTGGCACTTACCCGCGCGGGGCTTAATTAATTGGCGTATGACTCGCTAACCAAGTTGTGCCGTTTCTGGGCATCGGTCATAGGGTTGTTTCATACTACCGTACTGACTGCAGCAGACTGCAGCTGACCGCACTGATCGCAACGGCCGCACAATCGCTGCATCCTTTTATAAAAGAGAAAATAATTGTGAATACATCAAGACACCGTGATTTACGCCTTGATAGTTCATAGGTTCTAACTTACTCTTCTCAATCAAATTTTGGCTATTGTTTTTCTTCAATATGCTCATATTTGTTCAGATTCCTTTTGTCATTGCATATACCTATTTTACTACCGCTCATGTTGCCTACTGGGACATATATTGTTAAAGGCAGCGTCCAGGCAAGTCTGGACACATGGGGATCTTACTTGGAAAGTACTTTTAAGGCCCTAACTAAGCCACTGCCCAACCGGCAGCTCAGGTAGTGCCCTAACGGCTGAGATATGTATTCCCCTCGAAACTGGACCCCGCGACCGTGTTTCGCATGGATTCATGGCGCAAAGCGTGGATCCTGGCGCGAAACTGCCATGAATCCATGCGAATACGTTCGCGGGGGCCAGTTTCGATCGAGGGGAATATCTCAGCCATTAGAGCACTACATGAGCTGCCGCTTGGGCATTGCCTTAGTTAGGGCCCCAAAAGTACTTTCCGTAAAAGCCCCAAAGGTCCAGATCTGCCTGGACGCTGCCTTTAAGAGACTGTTTGAGCTACAGCTATTTATCCTCTCCTCTTTCACGAAAGGATGTGGCGATCTGTGCGGCCCCGCGGTCAATGCGGTCAGCTGCAGTCCGCTGCAGTCTGCTGCAGTCTGCTGCGGTCAGTGCGGCAGTCTGAAACCACCCATACCTCGCGCATTTTCGGTAGCCGCGCATTCGGCATTGCTACAGTGGCTCGTCATTGTTCCTGAGCGCAATTTTATTTTGCGTTTTTTTTCAGGTTTGACCTACTTGCGTCATTTCATGACAACTATGCGCCTATCATTCGAATCCTTGCCAAAATCGCGAGAAGTATGCTTTAGGTTTGAGGCATCGTTCAAAAGAGCTCACGAGATTTCGACTATAGTTGTAACGAACGAAAATTCGAATATTCGAATATGGCACATTCCAAAATTCGAACTTCTGAATATTCGGTCAAGTTCGGTTATTCTTCTGTATAACCGAACTTGATCGAATATTCGACTAAGTCGAATATATGAATGCAATATTCGAATAATCGCATGCAAAAAAAACAATCATTACTTATAATAACGGGCTAAGGATGTTTACGTGACTTTGTGTGTGTGTCTGTGTGTGTGTGTGAGAGTGTGTCTGTTACGAAATTCGTACTCAGACAGCGGATAGGACCCCTCCGCCGGAGAAATGGCAGGGTCGCGGCATATCCCCAGCGGTGGGTCTCCCATTTGTCCGGCGGAGTCCTCCCATTTGTCCGGCGGAGACCTCCCATTTCTCCGGCGGATACCTCCCATTTTCTGCTCCGGAGACCTCCCATCTTCTGCTCCGGATACCCCCCATTTTCTGCTCCGGATACCCCCCATTTTCTGCTCCGGATACCTCCCATTTTCTGCTCCGGACCCCTCCCATTTTCTCCGGCGCGGCTCTTCCAAATTTGGCGGACACGCGCCGCGCAGATTTCTGCGGCGCGGAGTCCGTCAAATCTGGCAGAGTCGCGCCGGAGAAATGGCGGACCTTTGCAGCAGGGCCGGAGAAGCCTCCCATTTGCCTGCCAGTGATGCCACCGCGATGGACCGCCCATTTGCCCTTCTCTCATTGGTCAACTGGGTCCGGCGCGACTCTGGCAGTTTCCGAGGGTCCGGCGGAGGGGTCCCGTCGATTGTCTGAGTAGAGCGTGCTCCAGCCAACCTCCTGGGCCCAAATTTTGCACAGCGCATGCTAGCCGCATGAAAATCCAATATGCAAAAGCAGGAGCAG